CTCTGGAAGATTTTGTATAAGGTCCATGTTTTTCCTGTGTGTTTGGAAGAATTCACTAGAGAAGACTTCTATGCCTGGAGTTTTATTGGTGGGAAAGTTTAAAATTATGAATTTAATTTTTGCTTATAGGTATAAAACTACTCAGATTTTATTTCCTCTTTTTTCACTATGGTAAATTGTATATTTCTAGGAATTTGTTCATTTCATTGGCATGTAGTTGTTTCTAATTTCCTCTTACTCTATTCTTTTTAAATTTTTAAAAAGATTTATTCTAGAAAGAGAGAGAGAGAACACCAGCAGTGGGGAGGGGCAAAGGGAGAGGGAGACAAGCAGACTCCCCATTGAATGGGGAGGGGGTTCCATCCCAGGACCCTGAGATCATGACCTGAGCTGAAATCAAGAGGTGGATACTTAATCTACTGAGCCACCCAGGCACCCTATATTCCTTTTTAAAATTGAGGTATAGTTGATATTATATTAGTTTCAGGTGTACAACGTAATTATTCAGTACTTATATATATATATTGCAAATCGGTCACCACAATAAGTCCAGTTAATAAGTTAACATTCATCATCATGCATAGCTATAATTTATTCCTTGTGATGAAAACTTTCAAGATCTACTTTCCTAGCTACTTTCAAATATGCAATACAGTATTATTAACTATAGTCACTGTGCTGTACATCTTTGTGATTGATTCATTTTATAACTGGAAATTTGTACCTTTTGACCCCCTTTACCCATATTGCCCACTCCCCACCCCTGCCTCAGGCAACCACCAATCTGTTCTTTATATCCATGAGCTTGGGTTTATTTATTTGTTTAGATTCCACATACAAGTGAGATTATAAGGTATTTATCTTTTTCTGTCTGACTTACTTTACTTAATAAAATGCCCTCAAAGTCCATTCTTACTGTTGCAAATGCCAAGATTTCTTTTTTATGGTGAAATAATATTCTATTATATCTATCTCTCTATCTATGTACCACATTTTCTTTATCCATTCATCCATCAGTGAACATGTAGATTGCTTTCATGTCTTGGCTATTGTAAATAATGCTGCAATGAACATGAGGGAGCATATATCTTTTCAACTTAGTGTTTTTGTTTTCTTCAGATAAATACCTAGAAGTGGAATTGCTGGATCATATGATAGTTCTATTTTTGATGTTTTGAGGTACCTCCATATTGGTTTTCAGTTTACATTCCCACAAACAGTGCACAAGGGTTCCCTTTTCTTCATATCCTTGCCAACACTTGTTATTTCTTGTCATTTTGATAATAGCTATTCTGATAGGTGTAAGGTATATATTCTTAATGCTGGTAGGATCTATGTCAATGTCTCTCCTATTCTTGATACTGTTTTGTTTTTGTTTTTGTTTTTCGTACCTTGTTTTTTTTTCTTCATCAGTTCTGGCAGAGGTTTAGAATTGCATTTGTCTTTTCAAAGAACCAATATTTGGCACATTGGTTTTCTCTGTTGTATATGTGTTTTCTATTTATTATTTCCTTATTTCTACTTACTGTAATTTTGTTTTTTTTCTTTGGATATGACTTTTTAGATGGATATATAAATCATTGGTTTTCAGACTTTCTTATTTTTTTTTTAGATTTATTTATTTGAAAGAGAGAGAGAGAGCATGAGCACAAGTGGGGGGCGCAGAGAGAGAGGGAGAGGAAGAGAATCTCAAGCCGACTCCACACTAACTGTGGAGCCCTATGCAGGGCTCGATCTCATGACCCTGAAATCATGACCTGAGCTGAAGTCAAGAGTTGGACACTTAACTGACTAATCTACCCAGGTGCCCCAGACTTTCAAATTTTTAAAATATGCATTAGAAGTTATAGGTTTTCCTTTTACTACACTCTACAAATTTTGATATGTAGTATTTTTGTTATAATTTTGTTGAAAACATTTTCTAATTTCCATCTAGATCTCTGGATGGGTTATTTGGGAGTATATTGTTTTTATTCCAAATATTAGGAAACTTCTAATTATCTTTTTATAATTGATTTCTAGCTTAATTCCATTATGGTCAGAAAACATACTCAGTTTACTTATTCCAATCCTTTGATATTTGTTGAGACTTGCTTTATGGCCCAGCATATGCTCAATGTTGAGAGATGTCCGGGTACACTTGAAAAGAATGTATTTCCTTCAGTTGTTGGATGCAGTGTTATGATGTTTAATTAACTTTATGTGTCAACTTCACTGTCCTAAGGGATGCCTGGGGGGCTGGTAAAAAATTATCTTTAGGCGTGTCTGTGAGGGTGTTTCTGGAAGAGATTAGTACTTGATTCAGTAGACTGAGTGAAGAGATCTACCTTCACCAATCTTTTAGGGCTGAATGAAACAAAAAGGGGGACAGAAAGGTGACTTTTCTCCATCTTTTCCTGTCCTCAAACATCAGGTCTTTGGACTCTGGAACTTATATCAGTGGCCCTATGGTTCTCAGGCCTTTGACCTTGGACTTAAATTTACATTGGCTCCCCTGAATTACTTCAGACTCAGACTGAATTATACCACTGGTTTTCCTGGTTCTCCATCTTACAAATGGCAGATTGTGGGACTTCTCTGCCTCCATAATTCTGAGTGAGCCAATTCCTATAATAAATCTCCATATATATCTCTATTCCTATGTCTCTTTTTGGTTCTTTTTCTCTGGGGAACCCTGACTAATAGAAGCATTCTATGTCAGTTCAATTAGGTCGTGTTTATTAAACATGTTTATTAAACAAAACCTGATATTCTGTCTGTTTGTTCTGTCAATCACTGAGAAAGTTATGTTAAAAAATCTTCCATTCTGATTGTGAATTTGTCCATTTCTCCTTTTAGTTCTGTCAATGTACCTTATGATATTTTGAAATGATGTTTTAGGAACTTGGAAATTTAGAACTGTTATTCCTTCCTGGTGAATTGACCTTTTATCAGTATAAAATGTCTTTCTTTAACTCTAGAAATTCTTTTGCTTTACAGTGTGCTCTTTTAGGTTTCTTGGTAAATGTTTGATGGTATATTTTTTTTCCATCTTTTTACTTCCAACCTCTTCCATCTTTTTTTTAAAAAAGATTTTATTTATTTATTTGTCAGAGAGAGACAGCTCACACACAAGTAAGGGGGCACACAAACAGGGAGAGTGGCAGGCAGAGGGAGAAGCAGACTCCCCACTGACCAAGGAGCCTGATGCAGGACTCGATCCCAGGACAGACACTTAACCAACTGAGCCACCCAGGCATCCCCTCTTTCATCTTTTTACTTCCAACAAGGTATATCTCTTGTAAGCAGTATATAGGACTTTTTTCAATCCAGTCTGATAATCTTTGTCTTTTGATTGAATATTTTAGTCCATTTACATTTTAAATAATGATTAAAATATCTGGGTTTAAATCAATCATTTTATTTGTTTTCTATTTTTCCCACTTTTCTCTGCTCCCTTTCCTCTCCTTTCTTGGTTTCTTTAGATTTATTTTAAATTATTTTATGCCTCCTCCTATTAGCGTGTTAGATATGCATTCTTTATTATTCCTTTTGTAGTTATCCTGAAGAAAAAAGCATCCTTGAATCTAATACACATGAATACTTTACCACTTCCCAGACAATGTAAGGACTTTAGAGCATTATATTTGCCCCTGTCCTGCCTTTTGTGTTATTATTGTCACATATTTTAATTCTACAAAAGTTGAAATCCCATAATATGTTATTATTATTATTGTTTTATGTAGTTAATGTTCATTTAGATTTATGTAGGTTTTTATTCTATTGCTCTTCTTTCTTGAACTTCTGTGCTTCTCTCTGGGATTATATTCCCTTTTGCTTTCAGTATCAGTTTACTAGTAATAAATCCTATCAGATTTTATTGGTCTGGAATGTCTATTTTGCTTTCATTTTTGAAGAATATTTCACTGGGTATAGAATTCTCGGTTGGTAGAATCTTTAAAGATGACGTACCATTCAATTGTTTCTCATGAGAAGTCAACTGTCAGTCTCATTCTTATTCCTTTGAAGGTATTGTATCTTTTTTCTCTGACTACTTTGAAGATTTTACTTTGTCTTTGGTTTTCAGTGTTTGATGTATCTAGATGTGAATTTGTAATTTTTTTTTAAAGATTTTATTTATTTATTTGACAGAGAAAGACACAGCGAGAGAGGGAATACAAGCAGGGGGAGTGGGAGAGGGAGAAGCAGGCTTCCCGCCGAGCAGGGAGCCTGATGCGGGGCTCGATCCCAGGACCCTGGGATCATGACCTGAGCCGAAGGCAGACACCTAACGACTGAGCCACCCAGGCGCCCCATGAATTTGTAATTTTTTAAAGTTCATATCTCTTGAGGTTCATAGCACGTCTTGTGACTGATATATATTGGATTTTTAGAAAATTCTTGGCCATTATTTATTCAGATATTACTTCTTCCCATTTTCTCTTTCTTTCTTTCATATCTAAAATTAGACTTTTTCACTGCATTCCATATATCCCTCGTGCTTTTAAAATATGCTTTCTTTTTTTCCTCTCCCTATGCTTTGGTCAGTGAGTACATTTTAAAGCAAAGTTAATGATTATTAGGCAGAATGTGTTTAATATGAACAAATCATGTCATTCGAACCTCACTTTCTTTTTTGCCGGAACTAGCAAAGTGGTAATATCAGACACATTAGTCACAGTGCCTATCCTACCCAGCCTTTCCTTCCAGATGAAAATGACTCACCCACAGCCTCCTGCTCAGGGAAACAGAGTTGGTCTATTCTTTGCACAGTGGTGGCTAATCAGATTATCTCTGTGATTTGGAGTGGGACAATGTTGAAGGGATTGGTTAATCAGTTTCAAAAGGAGAGCAAAGCAAATCCTGTACAGAAGCAAAAGACAGATTGAAAGGGCATATTTTTGCCAGAACTGCTTTGGTTCCTGGGATCTGTTCAGTTCTATGTACTGGACATGTAATATTATAAGAAACTTCATTTCTTAAGGTGACCTAAATGAGTTTGTCTTTCTTTTAATCAACAGGCAAATGTATCAGGGAATGTGGCTGAATGTGTATCTGAGCTCAGCAAAGTATTTCATGAAGACGTGTAATGCCTTTGGACGAGACTGAGAAATTTTCACTAAATGTGAGTGTAAATCAGTGAATAGGAAACTTATGAAGTGAGCATACCCAAAGGATACTAATTAATGAATTGCTCCAGCCTTGAGGGAGGTTGTTTTTTGTTCTTATTTTTATTTCTACTTTTGCTTTTGTTTTTAATATAAAGTTCTTCCCTTGACCTTCTTCTTATTTAACATTTTTATCACCACCTTTGTTGAAAGCATGCTTATAAATTCACTGAGGAAAACTGCATTGTTTAGCAGGATCCTACAACCTGGAACAATGGCTAAGTCTAACAAGATAACATTAAAAAAAACATTTTTTATTACAAAAATAATACATGCTTATTGCCAAATATTGAGAAAATGATTCTCTTTTTTACAGTCTATTTTTTTGTGAAAATTATAATTAGGGTAATAGTTTAATACTATTTTTTAAACATTGTCACTTAGAAATCATACTCATCTCCAAGTGACTAAATATTATTTTACAATATTGTTTTAAAACACCATCATTTATTTACCCAATCTCCTCTCAGGATAATGCTCTAATACTGTTTGCTAAAATTTTGCTTAAAATTATAAACATTTTTCCAAATAATTAAATATTATTCTCTCAATTGGATGACTATACCATTATTATTTAATCAATATGCTATCCTTAGGCAATTAGAATGCTTGCCCCACCACCCCACTTCTTGTCTTTAAGATTACTAGAACTATTCTTATGGCATTATTTTTGGAAAAATGTTATAGTTATTTCTTTCTGATAGGCCCCTAGCAGTGTATAAGAATCTTGGCTTATTTCCCTGTTGCTTCACCATTGGATATTATGATTTTCAAAGTTCCTGCCAATTTTATAAGCACAAATTAGAGTCTTGCTTTATTTTTATTTTCTTTGAATACTAGTAAAGCTGAACATTTTTTCATATCTATATTGACCATCTGTATTTATTGTTTTGGGACATTTATGTTCATGTCTTTTGTGCATTTTTCAATTACAGTATGTATCTTAATGTTTCTTAAGAGCTTTTATATATTAAATACATTAACTTTTTTTTGAAATACATGTTGCAAATATTTCTTCCAAGTCTGTCATCTGTATTTTGTTTATGAACTTTATTTTTTTGACACAAAGAAGATTTTAATTTTTAAGTTAAACCTGTTAATCACTTTATAGTTTTTGCTTCTCATGTTCTACTTACAATGATATCCTCCAATTATATAACTATTTACCTACATCTTCTATCATATGATATTTAATTGAATAGACTACAGACCAGCTCTTGGGTTCTGAATACTAATTACATAATTTCTGGATGGGGGAGCCTTGAGGCTGCTAGCATCAGTGTGCTTTGGCTGCCAAAAAACTATTGGAATATTAGGCTTTGTTACTAAAGCTTAGGTTCCAGGACCAGGAAAGCTATAGTCCAACAACACTGTCAAGAGAATCAAACCTCAGTGTATGTTTGATTTAGATGTGCTTGAGATTGTTTATTTTATTAGCTCATATTTCAACAGTTGTTGAGGAATCTGTAATTAAAAATACATCCTCATCCTCAAGATAAGGTAGACAATTTTCATAGCGAAACAAAGTATAAAAAATACAGCTTCAACGGTTTTGTTTTGTTTTGTTTTTTTGAGGTTGTCTGATATAAACGTCGCAGGCATTATACCTTTTTCAGAAAACTTCTATGCTTCCTGTGGTCCTACCTCCATTACCGGTAGGCCTTAGCAAACCCAAGGTTTGCCAAAATGTGCTTGACATCGTCGGGCTTGCTCATGCAAGCCTTCCTTTCAAAATCAAAAAGGCAGGGGCACCTGGCTCTCTCAGTCGGTAGAACATGTGATTTCTGATATTGGGGTTGTGAGTTTAAGCCCCATGTTGGGCTTACTATAAATAAATAAAGACTAAATAAAATAAAAAAGACAAGGATACTTACTACTGCCTGCCCCCTGCTCTCAATTTTATTCAGCACTGAACCAGACAAGACAATTAAAAGAAATAAAAGATGTAAGGATTGGGAATGAAGAAATAAAGCTGTCACTATTCAGAATCAGAATTTCATATGCTTTTAACTTAGTCCTTACCTGGGCTATTTCATTAGCTGTGTCTATCACCTTTTAAGAACATTGTATGGACGTAAACCAAAAGAGATTTATATGGGAATAATCATGGTAGTGATGAGGAGGGAACTTTGAAAACATGACACATGAGGAAAAGATTTGGGAATATTTAACTGGGGGAAAAGACTCACAGGAGAAAAAAAGAAGCCAAATTACCTTGTCTTGAGCTACTTAAAGGAAAATTGTTATGTAGAACAGATTTTTTTTTTCCCTGAAAGGTCCAAGGAAGCATAATCAGGGTCACTTAGAGGCAAGAGGAAGAGAGATAAAAGCTCTGGCAGAACTTTACTTTTTTTTTTTTTTTTAAGATTTTATTTATTTATTTGACAGAGAGAGCCAGAGAGCACAAGTGGGGGCAGGGGGAGATGGAAATGGCAGAGGGAGAGGGAGAAGCAGCCTCCCCTCTGAGCAGGGAGCCCATTGAGGGGCTCAATCCCAGGGCCTCGGGATTATAACCTGAGCCAAAGGCAGATGCTTAACCAACTGAGCCACCCAGGCGCCCCTCTAGCAGAACATTTAAGAGTCCAAGTGATTCAGACTTGGGAGAGGTATGCCATAGGAGGTCTAAAGTTCTTTGTCACTGGAGGTTTTCAACCAAAGGCTGAGTGGCCATGTGGAAAGATAACTGTAGGATTCTCTCATGTCATAGGAACTAAAAAGCCCACATTTCTTGAGCACCCACTGTGTGCATGTACCAAGCCACGTGCTATCTCATTTAATTATGGCAACCCAAGAAGGGACGTTCTATTTTATTCCCATTTAACAAATGAAACAGAAGCTTGGAGAGTCTGAAGGCTTGCCTGGTATCCCATAGATGGTAAATGTGACAGGCCTGGGCAATCTGTTTCCAGAGCCGCAACTCTTAACCAATGCACTGAATTGGCTGGGAAGAATGGTTGGCTTCAATAACCTTCAAGATTTTGTCAAATCCTGAGATTGTATAATTCTATGTGGAAAAAAGTCATGCCTAAAGGGATTTATATTAAAGATCAGTTTTTTTTGGCAGAGATGTTAGGTGGCTCCTGTTTTAGTATCTAATCTCTGAGTTATAAATAAAATAAAAGTTACTGAAAATCCACCCATCATTTCTAAATTAGAAAGCAATTGGATATTCACATATCTACCAAGGTACAAATAAGTTGGTAGACAATGGCTGGGATCCCAGACAGACGCTCTTGGGGCTCTGGCAATAAGATTAAGCCTATAAATATCAGATGGAGTATGTCTTACAAAATCAAATATCAGCAGTTTTGAAGCATCATGGGGTGTGTGTGTGTGTGTGTGTGTGTGTGTGTGTGTGCGTGAGTGTGTGTGTGTTTTAATTCTAAGCAGATCCAGCAGTTGATCTTAGGCTACTTTTATAGCATCTCAATGAAATTCTTTTATTTGGCATTTTTGAGTGTTACATCACTGAGTTATAGGTAATATCATACCAGTCACAGAATGCTGTTTAAAATTTGCAGCTAGGTACATTCGTGTCTGTGTGTGTGTGTGTACACATATCTCCTTCAAATAGAGAAACTAGATCAAATATACAGAGAAGTCGTGTGTGTGCAAGAGATAAGTACAGAGATTGGCCATTTGCCATTGTTATTAGGAAGAAAGGCATGTACACTGAGCATTTTAACAAATTACAAATGCCAGGAAGAAAATAATATGGCTGTGTTTGAAAAGATCATGCTATTTACTTGACAGGCTCTGCCCGGGCAAAGTTACAGCTGTGGCCCTGCTCTGCAGATCATTTAAACAGGCTTTTCTTTATGTCACTGACACTTTGGTTGCATCCACAGAGCTTTGCCATCAGTAAATAATAATTATTATGTGAGAGAAGATAGCCTACAAGCAGCTCCAGTGTTAACACCACCACAAATAAATCAATAGAAACACACATTAGTTAAAATGGTTTTTGTTTAGTTTTTTTCAATGTATTAATAGCATCAGAGCTGTTAGAAGAAAAATAGATTATAATTTAAAAAAATTCTAAAACAGTGTTGTGTGTGTATAAGAAAATCAGGATTGTCTTTTTAAGGTGTTTTTTCTGATCCTCTCACTTTCTAATCTTTCTATATTCTTTATAGTTGAGCTTCTCACATATTAGCACTCCTTAAGTCTTATTATCTTTGCATTCATCTACCTAAGGAAACATGGGGCGGTGGAAAGCCTCAGATGGTCCATTTTGAGTGTTACTTCCTAACTGTGGCAGTTGAATTCTCTGAGATTCGATTTCTTCATCTACAATAATGCCTCCCCAACAGTTATTGTGTAGATGAAAGGAAATCAAGAATACAAAGGTGCTCTGTAAACTAGGAAGCATCATACCAAAGTCAGGTCCAAAAGTCTGTTTCTTATAGTTTAGTCTTTGGTGGGAACCCAAAAAAATATATAAACTGTCTTTTAAGTAACTAACGACGGAAATAAGCATGGAAATGAATCATGGTAGGACTCAAGGGAAACATATTTCATGTTTCTCTATTTTTTCTTATTTAAACTTTCATGGAAGATTATAAGGGCTACTGATCATGTTTATTCTAATGAAAATTCCTGTGGTTGTTACTGTAGCTGTTGTTCTGGTGATGTAAGAAACACTAGAAGCAAGTCATGGGGGGCTAAGAGAAGGGGACAGTATATGCAGGTGTGGTTGGGTCTTAATAAACATGACTGAATTAATGCATACGAATGTACCCAACACCCCCCTGTTATGTTAATTTTTGGAACCTTAAGGGAGAAATGGTTTGGCAGTTGCTCTGAGGCTTCCTTTCTTAGACCCAGTTTTGGCACTTCGGCACTACAGGAGTAGGTGGGACAGCAAAACCCAGATTGAATTTCTGAGGCATCCTGCTGCCTGAAGCCTTCTCGAAAGTCACACGAGGCATTAACAGGGGGTTCCTGTGGAAAAATG